AGAATCTACAATTTGTTTTTCATTTAAAAAGCCTCACATGTCTACAGAAGATTTACAATGTACAGATAGTATAGGTTAAGGTATTTAGACGCCAGCGGATGCTTTTATGGACCAAGAGGAACTTGGTGAGGCATCAGTGGGGAAAAATACCAAATGCTTAATGAGGACAGTGCAAGAATTATTGGAGCCCTTTTGAAAACTACCACTTAAATTAACCAAACATCTCTACAATCCCATGTTGCTAATTTATCTTAAAATAAAGGATTGCACAGATTACAAAACAAACAAAATTAGACAAGTTCTTTCAAAATGACACCTTTCCACCCCACATCCAAGAAATTAGACACAGATCATACCTCAATTTTCCTAACATTCTGAACACTTCTTCAGGACAAGGAAGTACATATGTCCTGGTGTCCCTAGAAGGGGGGGGGGGGAGAGAATATACATATATTTTCAACAACTTTTATCAACTAATTTGGATACATCTATCTTTCGAGGGATATGTTCTTCTGACATCACAAATAAAACCAACAAAAAGTTCACTTGCTCTTTGACAGACTTTTTTTTAAAAGCAAGAATTCTGCCACACAACATACTCCTTTATTTGGTTCTATGTTCACCAGTGGTCACTATAGTTACATTTAAGAATCACCTCTTCCAAAATGCTGCCATCATACCAGTAGTTCTACTGACAAAAATTCTTGTCACAGTAACTATTAATATTGTATACAGATCTTGGCACTGCACCACAAAAAAAATTATAGCATTGGAAAAAGTACAGGAAAGGGCAACTATAATGATTACCTTCTCTGTGAAGAAAGGTTAAAGAAGTTAGGGCTCTTTAGCTTGAAGAAACAACAACTGAAGGGTGACATGACAGAAGCTTACAGAATTATACATGGGATAGAGAAGGTAGAGAAAAGAACTTTTCTCCCTTTCTCACAATACAAGATCTTGTGGGCTCTCAAATTAATGAACAGGAGGTTTAAAACAGATAAAAGGAAGTACTTCTTCACCTAAAGAGTAATTAACATGTGGAATTCACTGCCGCAGGAAGTGGTGGTGGCTACAAGCATAGACAGCATCAACAAGGGATTGCATAAACACACAGAGCAGAGGTCCATCTGTGGCTATTAGCCACAAGGTAGAGAGGGAACACTATGCCTGAGACCGGGATACTCTGTATTCCTGGTGCTTGGGGGAGGCAACAGTGGGAGCGCTTCTGGAGTTCTGGCCCCGCTGGTGGACCTCCTGATGGCACCTGGGTTTTGGCCATTGTGTGATACAGTGTTGGAGTTGATGGGCCATTGGACTGATCCAATATGGCTTCTCTTATGTTCTTACTGTTTTATCTGAAGAAAGGCATCTCCTGGCATGTGCACTGTTTTATTCCCAACTTCCCTAGGGCCAGTTTGATAAAGCTATCAGATTACAGGAATTTTGCAGTGAACCTGCAACAGTCTTGCTGGACCCATATGAACTGTATTGCTGGACCCAAACAGCCCAGCATTCTCTTTATAATACTGGTCAGAGACCCCAGGGAAGTGTGTAAGTAGGGCACAATGGCAACACCCACCTCTTGTTCACCCTCAGTGCTCGACAGTCACTGATACACTGCCCCAACAGAGGCTTCATTTTTAGCTATTACGATAGAACAGTCAATGACCTGTCCTACAAAGGGCATCTGAGCTATCTGCCATCTTACGGCTGTAAATTTGAAAGTTAACAGTTTTGTATGGACAGCCTGCAAATTTTAATATATCAAGATGAAAAATGAGTTTATTTACTGTCCACACATTTTCATAAGTTCTTATCTCACTTTCCCATAATGATTTTTAAAAGTGATCTTTCAGCCATCTTTTTCTTGAAAAACGGTGAAATAAATTTTTATGCAATATAATGAGGAAAATAAATGCTTTTATAGAATGTATTTTGAAAAATCAGCTATTTCTGTTACCAGTGGTCTTGCACTAGGTGGAAACATATCCCTAAAACACTACAAACCATCTGTCACATCATCTGCTATAGCGGCTTTAAGCCCTGAGGCCATCAAAGAGAACTATTAAAAAATGTGATGCACTGGAAAACACTATCCAATTCTTTTCTTCTTTCTTTGGAAGACTTTGTACATTCTTCACTTTTTCAAGGTGAAGCTTTTCAGCTTACTTCCAATTCTATGAAAATATGCTCAACAAACATTCTAGCAAGGTTTGCATTTTTATTCTTCACAGAAAGGTAATTTGCTTGATGTTCAGATTTTTTTTATATAAAGGATGCATCCAAGGTAAATCTGATTCAAATCAATAACAATCAATCAGGGACATTTTTGCCTCTTAATTGCTATAGTTCTCAGTTTCTGCCTCATTTAAGGAATATATGTTTTTTGAAAAATAATTTTTAATTGAAATTTCAAATGAACAACAACAAATAAAAGATAACCAGTTGCACATAAACTTAGAAATGGAGTACAACAAATCAAATAACATTAACATAATACTGTTCTTATAGGGAATCAAATACCAATAAACATGAACAGTTTCCCGAATGAGTAATTATACCACCAAATTTGTGTCAAGACAATTTAAACTTCAACTTTAAAGATTAATAAAACCATTCAAAATTAAGCAAACATACTGTAAAGTTTGTTTTTTGGTTCTTTTGCTTTTGTGTTATGTCAATACAGGAAACCAAAAATCAGCAAGCATTGAATTGTAAGATGGAGATTCTGCAGCACGAATCTGATCAGAGATCTTAACCATAATTACAAAATCCCATATCTTATTGACCCATTGTGAAATAGAAGGAGTCTGTTTGTATTTCCATTTTGAGGCCAGCAATTTAGGGAAGAATATTAACAGTGCCTTAGGATGTCTGCAACAAGGGACATGAGTGTAGATAATCTTTTTGTTCCTGGGTACCAAGAAGAAAAATAAATCCTCTTATTTGTCTACAGTCAGAGATTTGGGAAAGACAAATATAAGGATTCAGAATGCAACAATAGTTTACTACTTATACGCCATTATCTCTACCATACAACTGCATTAAAGACTGTGGATGTATAAAGAAAGAGATCCTTTAAAAAGTACTAAAAAGAATAACAGCAATCTTACCTTATCTATCCAAATAAATTCCAAACCAATGAAAGAGACATCAAAAATCCACTCTTGGAATGCAGGTTCCATTATATATGGGGATATTCACAAAACTGTAATGCCTCTTTAATTCTACCAAAAAAATGGTACACATATTGGCATTAAAAGATAAGTCTGTTATATTATAACATCAAATAAGAATAAATCAAGTCCCAGAGCAGAAACTACACTTCTCAGACCCTGTGCTCCATAATCCACAACAGCTTAAATTCAGGTCTGCTCAGTCACTTAAAATGGAGGGGGAACACAGAAGAGGGGGTGGCTCAGCTCTACTACTTCTTGTTATCCCCCACAGCCTCACACAAACACTTCTCCCAGAAAAACTCACTTCTGGTATCTGTGCTGAGGAAAGAAGTATTAGAGTGACGGACTGGAGAAGCTGGATGTGTGGGAAGGGTTTACGGACCTCCCACCAATTCACCTCTGAAATTCTCAAAAGTTGAAGGCTTCTTTCTCCTCTACCACCAGGCTTCGAAGATGTCCTCCCTAAGTTCATCTGATAATTACATCAGTTACCCCACACAAGTATGAAGCTTGTACACCTGGCTGTATACTACCCAACAATTATGTGTAACAAGGCCAGTGGAGGCTTAATAAATCTTATTCATCCTGCCTTCCTCGCATTGAGTAACAAACAAGGGGATTGTCAAGCAACACAAATGGCTGGGGGCTGCATTCAGCCTGATGTGTCACAGGTTGTTCCAACTCTGCCATAGTCTGTTCCTTCTGCTGTGGAAGAAGGAAAAGCAAAATTCATCTCTATCAACTTTTACCCTTCTTCCTCTAAGGAGCTAAGGGCAGCATATAAGTCTTCCCCTCCACAACCATTTAGTCCTCCAAGACCTCTGTTAAAGTAGGTTAGGCTGAGAGAAGGTGAGTGGTCCAATGTCACCCAGATCTCCCAGGGTAGGGCCTGACACCATTTGAGATACCACAGTAGCTCATAAGTGAAGAGGTGTCATTTTAATGAATTTTAGTCAGCTACACTATTCAGCCAAGGATGTGCACATTATTCTTAACTACAGCTACTCCAAGGCTCCTTCACATGACAGTTGTGCCTACCTTCTTTCTGTTTCCACCAGCTGCTTATAAGCTTAAGTTAACTGAGGTTCCATTTGTTGAACTCTGTAAATGAACAAAAAAATGAGAAGACATACATCAGTGGCTTATGAGGAAGATTTTGTACTGGTTTTAGTTTTGACATTGATTGAAAGGCTGACACGGAGATAGACAGAAGCATGCACAAATACATCTGGAACTGTAGGCTAAAGTCTGATGGGGTGATTTATGAGACCCCATTTAAAACATTTCTGAGCTATCTCATAACCTAGTTTAAGATAGCTTTCTGGGATGGAACACCAACCAAAGTAGATTAAACATTCTATGTGCCTTAAATGAAACCCAATAGGTACTCCTGTACAAACACCCTCAAGCTGCAAACCTACTTTTTTAAAGAGGGAGTGCCACCTCCAACTATAACAGGCTGCATACCTCAGTCCCCCAAATAGCTGCATTATCTATCAACAGCATCTCAATTTGTCAGGACAGATCTTCAGTTTACTGCATTTCATCCTGCCCACTACCACCTTTAAACACCTATTTAGAGTATTCACTTCCACCACATAACTAGTTGAGAGCCAAGAGAGAAATGAGGGGATTTGTGAGGTTGATTCCCCTCCTTGTACTGGACCCATTTCTAATACATGTTTAAACACTTAAACCGTTGATGTTTAAATGAAATTTACATTCCTTAACACAACAGCCATAGTACAATGCCCTGATACCCACCCTAGACTACCAATCAAGAAAGGTCCTTATGGTTGATAGTATCAAAGAGCCAGTTTGGTGTAGTGGTTAAGTGCACAGACTCTAATTTGGGAGAACCGGGTTTGATTCTCCACTCCTCCACATGCAGCTGCTGGATGACCTTGGGCAAGCCATAGCTGTCAGAGCTGTTCTTGAAATGGCAGTTCTTGAGAGAGCTCTCTCAGCCTCACCTACCTCACAGGATGTCTGTTGTGGGGTGGGGAAGGGAAACGAGTTTGTAAACCGCTCTGAGACTCCGAGTATAAATCCAATCTCCTCTTCTTCTCAAACCACTAAGAAGTCTTTCACTAACAGGGGGGACCCTTTAAGTAGCATTCTGAACAGCTCTAGCAACCCAAAATAGTGCCAGACAATTCAAGGAGGGGCAGGAAGTGGTTGGAGGGTAGATGACCAAGTGAACTTAAGGTAGTAGGATTTCACCTCTTCCCATAAGTTCTAATGAGACCCCTCTCTTGTATATTGTAATACCAGATAATTTAATTTCTGTCATGCAGCATCAACATGAATAATCATCTAGCATAGTTTTCCTGTGAAAGAAAAATGTGCTCTTCTTCACAACTAATAAAGCTGAGCAAGGCACCATTTGATATCTTCATATTAAATTCAACAATACTGTAAACCAGGGTGAGGAATAAAATGGTTTCTGGATTGCTAGGTGTATCACTTAAGAACTTGTTCAACTTTTTACTGAGCAGGCATCTACATCTGAAACATGTTTAGGAAATGTGAGCTGTTTTTTCCAGGCCTTTCCTTATGACACTTAACATTTTAATAGTTCTATCACATCAGACAGAAAAGCAATTTTCACAGAATACAGGCTGAAATTCTAGGAACATTTTCCTGGGTGTTCCATTGAGTGAAATAGGATTTATGTCTGGGTGCCCCCATAATGATGACCACATAAATTCAATCAGTATAAAGTCTCAGGTCCAGTATGCATAAAAGACTGAACAAAAGCATTAAAGGGAGAGAGCTTTCACGTGAAGCAACAGAAGTCAGCTAGCCAAGAATCTTAAAGCAAACCCACGTGCTAAAGAGTTCCTCCCCAAAGTATGCTGAACAGTTTAGTCCACTTATAGGATTCAGCTATGATACGCAACTGTGCTGAGTCAACAGCAACACAGAAACAATGCAGGAAACTTTAAAGCCAGGAAGTACAGATACATATTACAGACTCCAAAGCATCTGCATGACTCCTTTTCTTCTTCAGTATTTTACCTAGCAAACTTCCACAGAACTGCAGAAGTAACAATTATCATACAACAACATCACTCTTGTCCTCGATGACAAAACACATTTCTCCATCCTTGCAGGGTGGCCAGCCAGAAGAAGCATGGAGGAGCAGCAGTCCCCTCTGTAGTGTCATTCCCAATGCTGAAACATTCATGATCCAACACCATTCAATGATATTAGTCTGCCATTCCATCTATTAAAACTTTTCCACAGGTATTCCATATTTATGGTTATGATCACATTTCATATCACGTAATTTTGTAAAAAGACACAGAGAAGACCGTAAACAGCTGGAATAGAACTCAGTTTTCTCACAAATAGAATCCCACAAGTAACATGCTATCCTTCCTAGTCTCCACCTCTTCAGGGCCACATAGGGACCATATTACTTTTGTCCAATCAATTCAGAACATCACAGCAATCATTGGATTATATACTAATCCCCAGCAACACTTCATATTAACTTCAAGGTTCTAATTTCACTGTTAAAGCTTCCTAGTGTTGTTCTGGTTTGCTTTTAACAGTGATCTACTTCATGTATTATATATAAACCCAAAGATGCACAGAATGCATGTGACATTAAAAAAACAGGAATTGGCCACAGCTTTTGGTCAAGTGAATTCTATGGCAAATCTGGGCCTGTGTCTTCTGCATCACCACAGATTACATGCTTTCCCTAACTCCCCAAGCCCTACTTTCACACAATCAGCCCTACTTTGCCCATACTCTATGCCAGTGGTATTCACTCTGTACATCATTGAGAGACACGTTTGCAATTACCATCAACCAAAATAGCCACATTTACTTCCATCTCTTGCAGAAAGCTGTAGGTTTGCAGCTTGCCCATTCCTCCCGAGTCACCTATTCAAGGTGGAAACCTCCCGCCAAACACAGGTTCCACCAGGCAAGGGCCTTGCCCACTTTCCTGAAACATGGTGCAGGTACTACATTGGGGAACAGCGCTCAGAAAAGCCACAGGCAACTCCTAAGTCACTGAATGTGTTATCACTGTTGTATGTTTTCTATCCTGCTGCAGCCTGTGCCACCTTTCCCGCCTCCTCAAGCCACTTCTCTGTCCATTTCAAGACTTTCTGTAGTAATGCATTTCCTGAGCACCACACCTCACATGTCCACTACCACCTGACTATCCAAATCTCATGTGTTTAACCTACTGCAATTTGCCAGCCTCTAGACAAGAACTATGTTCCTAGGAGGAAAGGCGGGATAATAGTAGGTTAGAGAGATAAAGAGAACCCCATGCCACTTCCGAGTTCAGGGCAACAACAGAGATGATAAAGAAGCACTTAGGAGAAGCCCAATCTCAGACACAACTTCTGGCCAAATCTTTGCTTTTCTGAGCAAACAAAGCAGCCTTATACTGAGCCAGAGGCACTGAATCACAGTCAGGACTGTCAACTCCAACTGGCTGTAGCCCAGGTCTTCCATATCTCCTACTACCTGGTCTTTCCCCCCCTTTCTTTTAACCCTGAAGATGCTAGGGACTGCACCCTGAACTTCTGTGCACAAAGCAGATGCCCTATCTCTCAGGCACAGCCTTTCCCATAGGAAACAACGATACCTCAGACCAGCTCACTGGGAAGGGAGACTTGTGCACACCAGTCTGAGTTCCTTGAACGAAGGACAGGATAAAAATGCACTCATCAGGCAAACCTCTTTTGCCTCCACTCACACAAAACATTAACGTAACGTTTCTAGATGACCACCAAACCAACAAGCTGCGAGAGCAAACAGGACTCGCGTACCCTGAACCGTTAGGTGAAAGAGAACTGCAGCCGGTTCAGACAGTGCCCCCTCCCTAGGGCAAAGGCAGACCCTCCCTTACGAAGCAGAGCCCCTTCCCCTCACCCGCTCAAGCATGGCACCACCTGCCCCACCAGTCTCTACCGGGGGGCTTGGCCACTGTCTCTCCTCTCCGCTTCTCTACCATCCTCCTTAACTTCAGCTCTCACCGGCGACAAACGGGGAAGGGAGAGAGCAAAGAGAAAGGGAGCCGCGCAAGACTATCTTTTCCGCCCAAAGGAGTCCATGAGCAGACGGGTCTGGCGACGGCCGTTTCGACTCTGCCCGACTCACCTCCGCTGCACTTTGCGGCGCCCACTGGCCACGACTCCTTTCCCCGCCGCCTCCATGTTTGTTGTGTCTCCCAGAGCGCAGACGTAACCCGCCAGGTCCCGCGAGAGCCGCGCACCGTTTGCGCCTGCGCGCCCTCATGCTCCGCACTCGAGCCCACCAGCGACGCGAAAAATAGGCTTCTCCGAGGGACTGCGTTCTTAATAGGTCTGGGGAGAGATTTCCGGTTGCAGACTGCAGTCGCACAAATCTTCCATGTGCGGGGGCAACAGCGATGGAAAATAAAGGAACCGATGTAAAAACGTTATGTCAAATAAGGAGGCATTTTTAAATAATCTGTCTCTTCCCCACCACATTTCAACAGAAGCTGGAAAAGGATGCAATTTTTTCCCCTAGAACAAGAAAAAAAATTACATTACATTACATTACACATTCAACTTATATACCGCTTCTTCCCGAGGGCTCGGAGCTGTTTACAGAGACATTTAAATCCTAGGAGTGGGTACCCGTTTATCGACTTGCTGGGTGGGAGCTGGGACTCGAACAGCTTTATGGCATTTTTATGCCTGTCCACATAATATACTCTCATTGATACAAAACATTGTGCAAACTTTTATTATTTATTTCTTTATTTCCTTCGATTTATATACCGCTCACCCCCTAAGGGCTCTGAGCGGTTTACATTATACATTTGATACAATCCTACCTAAGGCCACACACGCCTTTGATCACGCCTTGAGATCACCAGAGCTCTTCATCAATGTGTTTAAATATAGACGGTTAGAAGGCAAATTTGTAGGACCTGATAACTTTAGGGTATGATCTTGCAGACATCCTGTTTCTCTGCGTTTATGTGACTCGTGACCGAGAACACATTAACCCAACTCCGCTCGGACATCACACGCGAGAGGTGGAATTTGCCCCTACCCCTAGGCCCCCCCCCCGGGGGCAGGGGGGCGGGGGAATGTCCCCCCCCCCCGCGGCCGGATCTGTGGTGTGCCTGTCCCAGGTGACTTCAGCGTTTTCTGACTCCCTAGCCCCCACCCCCCGCATTCCACTCAAAACACTTTGGAGTCAAGTATGTACCAAGAAACGCCTCCGCATGGAAACCAAGGCGGGGACCACTCTACAAGGGACTTATGTCAAAGCGCTACGACTTAAAAAAAAAAAAAAAAAAAAAAAAGAGGCTCTCACTCTTGGATTTTTAAAAATTCTTCTTCGTATGCAGTTCCTCCACTTTACAGGTAGAACCGGTAGTGTGGATTGTGTGAAACTCTTGGAGGTCTTTTTTTAAAAAGCAAACAAACCCGAAAACCTGTCTTCGGCTTTCTCCTGCACATCTGAGGGTTACTTTCTCCAGCTGAAGGGGCGGGACGAGGGGAGGGGGGAGACCGAGGCATCGCCAAGGGAAAGCCAGAACGGCGATGGCGACCTCGCGTGTGCTCTGCTTGTGGAGGTGGTGCGGGAAGAAGAGCAACACGCTGAAATCCGGGGTCGGTTTCCAGCTTCGGGGCTACACTGTAAGAAGTGGCTTTCTTTGCGGACGGGGTGAAAGCACAGAGTTTGTGCAGGCGGCTCTGCCGGCTTTGCAGCCACAGAGTGATAAGGGGGGAAAGCTCGCTTCAATTTCAGATAAAGGCGCGGAAGGAAGCCGTGTCAAGAAAAAGAGTCACTCCGCTTCGCAAGTCTAACAAAATTTGTGCCAGGGTTATGGGCTTTCGTGAGGCACTGCCCACCTATTTTGCTCTACTTCGCAAGGTTATGCAGCGCTATGTTTTTCTTGCTATTCTCCTGGCCCCCATAGTTTGGGATTATGGGGCACAATTTGGTCTTTTCCAGGTGATCTTGAGCCTTGGTCCCATAACTGTTTGATATGAGGGGTGAACCCAGGGGGGAATCTCTCATCAACCCTATGCCATTCTTCCTGAGGTTGTAACCTGGCCATGTAGGAGCCTGAAGACAGAGGCATTTGCAGAATTGTCATGTGACTTTTTTAATAGCAGTCTACATTTGCTGTTTAACAGGTTATGGATCCAACTAGTATGGGAGTGGTTTTTTGTGTATTTACTTACCTATCCAAGTGTGCAGTGAAAAGTGATATCTGTATTTAACACAGAGCATGCCGCTGTTGTTTTAAACATTATTCTCTCAGCCTAGTTTCTGGTATTAGATCAGTATTTGGAGGAAAATGCTTAAAGTGCAGCGGGAGTGTTATAAAGTGCAAAAATATTACCTGCTTCATACATGATAAAGAATGTGGTGAAAGGAAAATGGCAGAGCCTAGAGGAGATGGGGCCCATCCTAAAGTGGAAACCTTTGAGTTTTCTGAGTTGACAGATACCCATAATAAATGTTGCAATGGCATTCAGCATAACAATCTTTAACAGGGAAGCTTTTTCTTTTTCCAGTGAAACCTCTGTCCAGTTATTACCTGCCAGCAAGAATCTTTTAAAGGCGGAACTGGATTGACTTGATCCAAACACTGATTACAGTGTTCAAACTGTTTTCCTCCTATTCAGACACAGTCTATGCATGGATCATCATTTGATGGTCCAACTCACCATTGGGAGAAGTTGCTGACCCCTGCTATATAGTTACCCATACTTATTGAAATCATTGTGCTTAGCTGTGCACAGTATCACTGAAGTACATAAATAGAATTATTTTGCCACAATATGAGCTCAGCTTAGTAACATATGCTTAGGTTTAGTTTCTCTAGGCTTAAGAAGGTAAGTCAAGTTAAGTTGTTTCTGGTCTTCACCCTGTTTGCAATCATACAGGAATTGCCTGACAGGTCACTTCTGCACTCTGGTGAATGTAGTCTTTTGCTTGGTCTTTTCCTTCATCTCTGTTTCAGACCACACAGTCTGAATTATCATCCAGTCACAGTGATGAGGGGCTCATTAATCACATATAACTTCCTCCCTGTAGCATTACACTGTGAAGAGTGGTCTACATAGCTACAGGTCAGCTTGATTTTTTTTTTAGTTTGAACCCTCTTTAAAAATTTCTTTGTCCACAGATAAGACGAAATGCATTTCCATATATCTACAGGATGACTCATCCTTGCATCTTTAACTCATTCAGTTCAGAAGCTTCATCTCACAGTGATTTGTGTTGTGCTCCACTTCAAACATTTACTGAAGAAGAGATAATGATTAAAGAAATGGGTAATGTATCTAAGTTCTACCACTGGTCAAAGTCATTGGGCACAGGCCCCTGTGATAAGATCCATTATTTCAAGAAGGGTTGTGTCAAAGCATCCTTAATGTTTCATTGAAGGGCATAGTTGTCTTGTTAACAAGTTGTTTTTATCTACAATACTTAGTATATTTTAAAACTCATTTTAAAATAATAAGCCTGTGTACATAGCTTTATTGTATTCTTGGAGAGGGATCAGCAGTGTCACCTTCCTTTCACCACAATACTGAGTAGCACAAGCCATTGTGAGCAGCAAAACTTGCCAAAATACCAAGGCCCAACTGTAGCCGCTACTGTTGTTGACCTATGTTTGTGAAGTCTACACCTATTCAAGTTCTGAATGACTGTGTCTTGAGGTTAGCTATGTAGCTCATTTCTATTCCTTCAAGGAACTCAGGGAGGGGTCATAGGATTTCCTTCTGCCATTTTATCCTCCCAGCAATCCAGTGAGGTAGTTTGGGCTGAGACAGTGTGACTGGACCAAAATCATCTGATGAGTGGGCTCTCTATCGTCCCAGTCCAACAACTGAACAACTATACCATGCTGGCTTTCTCAGTCTAAAGATGAATAATTAGATTATTTGTATCTTTTCTTCTTTATAGTAAAAAAGTTTGCTCAAGAACGAATTGTACCGTTGGTACAAAAAATGGATGCAGAGGCAAAATTAGATGATTCTGTTCTACAAAGTCTGTTTGAACAAGGGGTTTGTGCTTTTTTTGTATGTTTTAAGAAATAGTTCTGTAACGTCTCTTTCTACATTGAATTTGGTGAAGAGATAACAATTTTTTCAATTATTAAATAGGTGTGTGTGTGCAGATATGTATGCTTCCCATAACATTTAAAAGGATAAAAATTATACAATTGCAAGTGAATATGGACAGCATATTTTAAAATTTGCAGTTCTTTTTTCTTGTGAAAAAATTGTTGCTAGTTTACCTTTTACTTAGCAGACAGTTTATGCAGTTGTAGTCGAAGTAAATCTTGGTGGGAAATATTTGCTTCAACCAGCACTGTGACAAAACTTAAATAAAATGACACCTGTGGCGAGAATATTTGAAGATTACGTCTTTCTGATTCCAAGAAACGCTGCTAAAACAGTACAATAGCCGAAATACGAAGTTACACCAATACAAATGTAAGAACTACTGTGTCAGACTGCTAAATAGACTGAGATCCTATACTTATGTATTCAGGGATCCTTCTTGGTTCAGTGGGATTTACTCACAAACTTCTTTGAAATCAGTAGCACTTGCTTGAGAAGTTAGCTTTGGAATATACCATGATTTACAAGATTCCCCCCTCCCCCTAAAATAATTCATTCTTGCTTTCTCAGTTGATGAGCATTGAGCTTGGCTCAGAATATGGAGGAACTGGATCTTCTTTTTTTTCCACCATTCTGGTGATTGAAGAGCTAGCCAAGGTTGATCCATCAGTGGCACTTGTATGTGAGCTCCAGAATACATTAACCAACAAATTGTTTACAACATATGGCACAGAAGAACAAAAGAGAAACTACTTGCCCAGGTTGGCAAAAAACTTGGTGAGTGTAGATTTAATGAAATATGTTAGCCTAATTCTGCAGAATTTTCATCTTGTTCAAAAATTATGAGTCCAATCCAAAGATTCCAATCCACAGCCTCATGATATTAAGTCTTGACACCACAGGGGCGTAGATTAGATTTTAATCAAATATTTTTTGATAGTGAAACTGGGCTGTATACCACATCAGTAATTTTTTTTAATACCTAGCAGTGCAGTCTACAAAGCATTTAATCAGCTGCCCTGAGCCTGCCCTCGTGGGGAGGGCGGGGTATAAATCAAATAAATAAATAAATAAATAATAAAAGCATTATTTATCTCATTTAGTTACAATCAGTGGGAGTCAAACTGGTTTAAATAAGGCAAAGTTAGGATTAGAGTTAGATGTGTTATGCTGGCAATACATCATGTACTTATGCCCTTTTGCTAGAGCATGTCATGCTGTGACTCTTGCTGTATCAACATTTTCCCTTTGTTGCCATAGTAAGGCTAGGTAAAGACTGAGCTATCGCATTGTTTAGGGTAAGAGATCTGTCTCTATGTGGGGATTCTAAGTGACTTTTTGATTGAATTTTATTTTTTGATTGAAGAGACTCAAGAAGATGTGGGAGAATATATTGTGTAACTGCAAAATAGTAAAAAGCCAAGTAGCGACAGACTAACACTGCTAACTCCTCTGGATCTATGATTGTGTAACTGTTTAGCTTTAATTGGCTTACAGACTGGTCAACTAGAGAGCAGTCCTAAATGGGTGTACTTGGAAGTAAGTGACAGTTTACTCAATAAGGTTTACTCCTGGGAAAGTATTCTGCAAATTACAGCCTATGTTATGCCATGTAAATGACGGTATAAAGATCTGATGTGCTCATTATTTGGAAAATGAAAAACTGGTAGTCTTCTGGAATGGAAAGGATGTGTTATATAATGGGTTTTAGGTAACCTTTGAACTGATATTTTTTGAATCCACAATTGCCAGGGTGTTAATCACATACTATGGGACAATTATGTTAGTTCTCGTTCTTCCTGTTTGCCTTGAGTCCTGGTTGTATAATTCACATTACAAGCACCATTAGAAGACCAAATCTACCTCTTTTCAACTGTCTTCTCACTCCACTACTCATACCTAGTATTGCTTAAACACGGCCTTTATCATTCCATTTTATCCCTGAACCTTACAACCTTTCCTGATTCACCTCAATGTCTGTCATTAAACTTACAATGTATGTCCAAAATGTTGAAAGAAATGTTTTATTGGTTTATTTATACTGTGCTGTTCCTATGTTCTCAAAATCTGTATACAGTGAATATATCTGAAATGGCATTATTTTACATGGTAGATGGGCAGCTTCTGCCTTTCAGAGGTTGGATCTGGCAGTGATGCATTTTCCTTGAAGACTCGAGCTGAAAAGAAAGGCGACTATTATATCATCAATGGATCAAAGATGTGGATTAGCTTTGCTGAACATGCAGGAGTCTTTCTGGTGATGGCAAATGCAAATCCTTCTGCTGTAAGTAGCTGGGGAACAGTTGCCATTTAGTTTCAGCAAAGTATTGCTGAATCCAGATAATAGGGTATAAATAGTCTTGCACTGTGCTTATATTGGCTGCTTCCCATCCTCCAGAGACTTGCCGAACTTTAAGCTGGAATGCTTCTTTGAAGTAGCTTTCATGCTGGCTTTACTCAGTTGAGTGGGGAGGGTCCTACTTTCATGTGATGAAACTTCATTTTGTTTTGGTTTGGGATTTGCCTTTTTCTTATTTGTGTGAGCCTTCAGGACAGAGTGAAATATAAATTTAAATAGACTAGCTATTTTATGTAGAATTGAATACACCGGTGCAAGTTTTAATAGACCCAGGGGCAGATTAACCATTAAGCAGACTAAGCACGTGCTTAGGGCACCAGGGCCAAAGGGGACATCACAAAGTTGGAAAAAGGGTGAAAAGCTTAGTTTGTACAGTATATTGTGTTATCATATGAATTGTATTGCTGCAACCTGCATTGTATATCTGGTCAGACAGGTCAACAACTAAAATGGACTGGGTCAGTGTGGAAAGGAGGGGGGGCACCAAGATTGTCCAGTGTTTAGGGCACCAGTGAGCCTTAATCCGCCCCTGAATAGACCCCTTCATATCTGTAAGAAGCAAGGATAGCAAAAGCATGGCATCACAATTAAGATACTTCAGCCTCTGGTAGCAGCTAACAAATGCTGAAATTACTGATGCTATGTGTGACAAGACTTCCTGCAGAATAAGGCCTGTTCCTACCAAATGTGACTCTTCTATTAGGTCACCCATCCCTGCCCTTGGAGTATTTTTCTTTGGACAGGATCATTGTCCCAGGGTATCCAGTTTGTTTCAAAATATTCATATCTTCTACACTAGCATGTGTTGTGGAACAAGGCCAATGGTAAAAGCTTTCTGTGGATCTCAAAGCTGAGAGAGGCATGTAGATGAAACTTTGGGGAACATAGTGGAAGGAAACTGTTTCTCGGGTTCCTGTTGCAGCAGAGAGATGCGATTTATAGATATGATAAATGCTTGTGCCTTAGCAATGTTAGTTATGGAGCCAGGTACAGGGGAGGGAAGTCTGGGGAGGCAGTTAGACCTTTAGATGACAAATGTGTGAAGGGATTATTGAGGTATGTGAGGGAAATTACAAAGAAGCTAAATGAGTTCTTTGCATGGGTCTTTACTACTAAAGGTGATGGTCAGGTTCCTGTTGCTGAACCTTTTTTTAAAGTAATATCTGAAAAAGTAAATTGAATGGAGATGATGAACCCATTTTGTGTACATTACTGTGAGGGGTAGCATTATTATGGAAACAATTGTGCTGGAATCACTAAATCAATGGCATATTTGGAATGCTTACTCATACAGTTTTGTGTGTCTCTGTCTTTCTTAGGGATATAAAGGAATAACATGTTTCATTGTTGACCGAGACACAGAGGGCCTACATGTAGGAAAGAAAGAAGATAAACTGGGAATCAGAGCAACCTCTACATGTCCTGTAACATTTGAAAATGTAAAGGTAATCCTTTTAAAGCTGCAAAGGGCATTTGGTTAAACCATCACAATACGATGGAGCAGTTCAGTGGACCTGCAGTTGTTCTAGTTAGTATGAGTCTAGAAGCTGAATAGTAGATCTAGATTTTTTTAACTGCCACTTTGTGCTAACAATCACAGATTGGAACTTGATTTGCTTAAACGGCTTCAAAATCGATCCAAATTTAAAATGGGCTTTGTGTCGACCAAAAGCATTATTAAGTGTTTGTTTTTATCCTGTTTCCCTCAAAACTGAATCAAGTATCATAAATCTGTGCTAGGTTTTGAAAAACGGGGAAAGGCTAATGTTATTTGTTTAATTCCACAGGTGCCTGAGACCAAGATACTGGGGCAGCTTGGACAAGGGTATAAGTATGCCATTGGTATGCTCAATACGGGCAGAATAGGGATAGCTGCACAGGTGCGTAACCCTGTTAAAAATGTAAGACTCATGCAGATATCACAAAAGAGTTCCCTTGACCATGGTCTTCCGCCAGCCTTGCCCCTCTTTAGGTTGAAATTGAAAGAAGTCAATTGATTACAAGGTGATTTATGCAAAGGACCTAGTTTTCAATTACTGCTGTAGAGCATGCCCAAGGATTTCAACTTGCCTTGGTGACATTTTTGACAGACACACCATGTCACAGCACAAACAGCTTTTTGAAACTTAGGTTCAAAAGAGGTTTGCTGTGGATCCAGACAGAGTAGGTAGTGTTTGGGAAGCTGAAGCCCGTAAGTTCCTTCGGTATACCATATTACTTGTGTGTTTTTCGTTTTGGTTTTTTTGTTTTGTTTTTTGAGGCTCAACCATTATCTGTATTTCGTTGTGGTAATCTGGGGTTGCTTTTTGTATCAGCAGTTAAGTATCTTTGTTAATTCTTTGTTTGGATACCCTGACATGGAAAGTAGTTCCATAATAAGTAGAAGCAAAAAAGAAAACACCACTGGCAAAAAATGAACACACAAGCAAATAAGGAAATATATAATAATCAATTAAGCATAACAGCAAGTATAATATATATCAAATAAGCATAACAGCAAATATAATATCACTCAATTGCTTCTATGCTGGAGTAGATACATGGAAAGACTGTGACTGTTTCTGTTATGCTTTATTATTGCACTTTGGCCAATTGAGAGAGCCAGTCTGGGGAAGGAAGATGCCCTGAATGCTGGAACCCCCCTTCCTTCCCAATTCTGAGGCTGGTAGGCTAGACACTGTCTTTACTGGCAGGATAGCAGAAGGCTGGAGGCCCGTCTCGGGAGTGAAGGAACCTCACAAATCTCTAGCAAGCAAAGTCACATTCAGTACTTGTCATTTAGTCTCTCTAGTTGCATCAGTTCTGTCCTCTCTGACTGTGGCATTTCCAGCTGGATCCTACTCTGTTCTGAAAGCGACATGCTGAGGTCCTTAGAAGGGAGCAGTGAGTTCACAGCAGACCCCCTTATAGCTTTTTCCTCTTGTGGAGTAGACTCTTTTCTGTCGTAATATTTGCTGGAAAAGAGTATGAGACTGTGCTGATTTGCATATTCATTTAGTGTGCCGTAGCAGAGTTAGCCTGAGGGCTGTTCCAAGTGGAAAGCCTGTCAAAGGGTGAGCAGACTGGCCGCTGAATCACACTTGGAGGGGAAAGTTCCAACAAGTGTCCTTAGTAGACTTGCTTCAAAAGGAACAAGTAGGATTGAGCTGAGTTGCTGGCACCTTCTAGTGGCAGGGAGCTGCATTGCACTCACTGGGGTTAATGCCCAGTAATGTTTAATAGCAGGGCTGGTTCTGTAAGGAGCTGAGGTTAGGCAGGAGCATACAGTGGGCAAAGTTTGGAGGGTGGCAGACTCCACTACACCTGCCTCCCCTCCTGTCCTGTCTCTGCCTCATTTTTTTTCACCTCAAAGCTGGAGCTGCAAATGCTGTTTCCTTCCTCCTACCCCCAGTCATCTTCAAACAGAGAGAAGCAAGATACTTAGGCCCAGTGTGTAAAGTGCCATTCAAGTTATGGCCAACTTATGGTAACCATATCAGGTTTTCAAGGCAAGTGATTAAGCAGGGGTGGTTTGCCATTGCCTTCCTCCGCGTGGCAACCCTGGAATTCCTTGGTGGTGTTCCATACAAGTGCTGACCCTGCTTAGCTTCTGAGATCTGACAAGATTGGGCTATACTACACCGTTCCATATCCCTCTTAGGCCCAATAGACTCCCCAAACTCTCAGTAGATTTCTTTTGTGAGAGTTCAGGAAATTCACTGGGTATGTTTGTGGATTGCTGTGCTGTGTTTAAAGGCACCTGGGGAAGCAAGGAAGGAAGGACTGTTCACTGCTCCGCAGGGAGGTGGGAAGGGAGGAGGAGGCGGCAGCAGTCTTAAATAGCACCTCTTGTTGAGACTTCACTGTTCATTTCCTGTGGCATGGCCAACTTACTTTTTTTTTTCCTCAAGAGGTCTGGGGCACTTTGTATTTGCATGATAGTAATGGTTTTTGTTTTCTTGTTCACCCACAGATGTTGGGATTGGCACAGGGATGCTTTGATCACACTATTCCATATACAAAGGAGAGGACCCAGTTTGGAAAAAGCATATTCGATTTTCAGGTAGTGATTAGTACACGCTGTTAAAACTGGTTGTAAAGGGAAAACATTTTTCAAAGGAGATGTCAAAAATGATGATAAAGCTAATTATCATAGGGCACAATGTTACAGTTGCATATGTACAGGTAATTCTAAGTTATAAGGATTACCTTTGAGGTGCATGTCCCAAAAAATGAATGCTCTTCTCAGTACTTGTGTAGCAGAAAAATTCTGCAAATGGAATGACAGCTGGTTCTTTGGTTACTTGGCATAGCATGACAATTTAAAACAAGCACAGGTAAGAAGAAATCTAAAAATGTATCCTCTCAGCAGTTCTGACGCATGAAGTGGGATAGATAGAGGGGCACTGTTTGTAAATTGCACTTGATTCTTAGTAAAAGAGATCTTCACCAGAAGTTACATTGAGGATTTCCTGTGGTTATCCCAATAGTTGTGTTAGGTATGATTCCTGTGCTTGCTACAAATTCATATATTCTTTAAAAAGAAGAAGAGGTTGGATTTATACCCCGCCCTTCACTCGGCGTTTCAGAGTGGCTTACAAACTCCTTTCCCTTCCCCCAACAGATATCTCGTGAGGTAGGTGGGGTTGAGAGAGCTCTAACAGAAACTGCTCTTTCAAGGACAGTTGTGACAGAACTATGGCTTGCCCAGGGTCATCCAGCAGCTGCAAGTGGAGGAGTGGGGAATCAAACCCGGTTCTCCCAGATTAGAGTCCGCATACTTAACCACTACACCAAACTGGCCATTATGTGGGGAATTATGCCAATTTTGCTTATTTAAAACCAGAGTTGTTATGAGTTGTTGTTCTTACAGTGTGTGGTATGACCTGAACAATTATGAATTTCCTGACAATTTAAGGGTAGTTAAGTATTTTTGGCTCAGCTCTTTGGCCACATAGGATCAGGAGTTGGGAGTCAGGGAGAGAGGGTTGATTTGTCTCACAAGCTGTGTTGTAATGAGGGACTCACTTCTTTCAGGGAATGCAACATCAGATTGCTCAGGTGGCCGTACAGCTAGAAGCTGCAAGATTGCTTACCTACAATGCAGCCCGACTTGCAGAAACTGGAAAGCCATTTATCAAAGAGGCAAGCATGGCCAAATATTATGCAGCAGAGGTAAGCTAAATTTGGGGATGGGTTGGGCTTGTGTTTTATTTCAATGTTGATGCATCATTAAAGGGCATATGATTTTCTTTTATGCATAAACCTTTGAGCACTGACCAGTATCCTACCTTCCATGTGCAGAAGGCATACAAAGTTTCCCCATGTTCCCCTCCATAAGCACAACTAATGTTCTAGCCCCTGGAAACATCTGTCCTGGGGTTGCAGAATCCACACGAAGGAAAAGTTGTGAGGATTGGTGGGCAGGAGCAAGGAGGGGCAAAGAGATGAAATTGTCCCTCCCATCAGCAGAGCTGTGCTTGCAAAAGACCATCCATGGATGGGATTTCTCCTCCATGGGTGGAACTATTTGTAAAAATAGTGCACTGTCCCATAGGCACACAGCCCACATCTAAGTAAATTTTTCTTCCCACCTTCTTTATTTTGTGGCACTCAAAATAGAATGTGTCAAGTAACTGAGAATGAGAACATTCCTCTAAAGGCAGCTGTAGTGGTGGCAGTTAACGAAGAAGTGACTGGTCCCACATTTATTTGCTTCTCATTGTCAGGCTAGCCCAGGGGTCCTTTTGAGCCTGCAGGCATCTTTGGAATTCTGACATAGCATGACAGATGCAGTCACAAAACAGCTGCTACACCACAGCTCCATCCATAAAAATAGCTGCTGTAGCTTACCTTCAGTCATGCAGTGAAGATACTTGTCCTGTGGTGGCACCTGCTGTCAAAGCATCGTTTCTAAAAATCTGCACAGTCAATCAGAAGCCTTGCTGGGCAAAACCCCGACCTGGCCCTGCCTACTTTCTAAAAACACTTGGTGGGCATCCAGAAAGGTGTTGGTTGGTGCCATGGTGTAGTGGTTAAGAGCGGTGGACTCTAATCTGGAGTACCGCGTTTGATTCCCCACTTCCCCACATGCAGCCAGCTGGGTCAGAGTTCTCTCAGAGCTGTTCTCTCGAGCAGTTCTTTCAGCATTCTCTCAGCCTCACCTACCTCACAGAGTGTCTACTGTGGGGAGAGGAAGGGAAGGTGACTGTAAGCAGTGTTCCTTCTAAGATGAGTTAGTGTGAGCTCGCTCACAGTTTTTTAGCCTCCGGCTCACACATTTTTGTCTTAGCTCAGGAAGGATGGCTCCAGAGCAAACAGTAGCTTTTATGCAGTAGCCAAATCGCCTGCTCACAATTTTAATGCCAGTCGCTCAGAAAGTAGATTTTTTGTTCACAAGACTCCAGAGCTTAGAGGGAGCATTGACTGTAAGCTGCTCTGAGACTCTGAGTGAAGGACGGGGTATAAATCCAACTCTTCTTCTTTATGTTGGGGACCTCTGGCCTAGCAAAATACCCTGGCTTTGATTCTAAGGCAATTCACAGCATGCCAACTCTATCTTTCATAGGTTGCAACTGTAACAACAAGTAAATGTATTGAATGGATGGGAGGCATAGGCTTCACAAAAGATTACCCTATTGAAAAGTATTACAGGGACTGCAAAATTGGTAAGTAGCAAGTTATCATGAATAATTTACTGTACATGACATCATGTTCCGAGTTTGGGGTGAATTACCAGAAAGTTACCAAAATAGTTTTTTTTGTTCCTTTGACCACCTTGCTCTGATACAGACATTCAGCAACAGGTGCATATAAGGATCTAGAATTTATTTATTTATTTATTTATTTTTCACATTTGTATCCCGCCCTCTCCAGTGGGCTCAGGGCGGCTATAATTAAAGTAAAACCTTTCAGCTACTATATTTTGTTATGTCCAGAATTAAAGCATAGGTCAAATGTAGTATCCTGCAAGAGCAGTAGTGTAAGAAAGCCCTATGCAGAGAATGTCTTCTGCACATACTTTATCCTTCATGTGCTGGGCTGTCAGCCACATGATCTCGTCCAATGGCGACGGCTTATCAGATCTTCTACAATTTCCAGGTTCTTCCTCAGGCCTCATCGACGCATCCTTTAAGATACCTTGACGGTGGTGGTATAATGGGGCTGCAGCTCCTACTCAAAGGCCTGGCGGAAGAGCTCCGTCTTGCAGGCCCTGCGGAACTGCACAAGGTCCTGCAGGGCCCGTATTTCCCCCGGGAGCTCGTTCCACCAGGTAGGAGCCACCACCGAAAAAGCCCTGGCCCTGGTCACAGCTAGTTTGGCATCCTTGGGGCCCGGGATGACCAACAAATTTTGGGCCCCCGACCGTAGTGCTCTTGGGGGAACATGTGGGGCAAGACGGTCCCTCAGGTAGGCTGGACCCTGGCCATAGAAGTCAGATGGTGCTGGTTTTGATGTATAACATAAATATACTGGATCCGGATCTTGTGCTGCTTAATATACTTAAAGTAAAACCTTTCAGCTATTATGTCCAGAATTAAAATGTAGGTCAAATGTAGTATCCTGCAAGAGCAGTAGTGTAATAAAGCCCTATGCAGAGAATGTCTTCTCCACATACTCTATCCTTCATGTGCTGGGCTTTCAGCCACATGATCTTTTGTCACAGCAAAGCAGCTGTAGCTGCACATGAAGGGCTCCTGTACGTACATCTGGACAGGTCTTGCTCCGTGCTAATAGAAATGCATGCATTATGGTGTCTCATTTTAAAAGGACAAATTATTGTGCAGCCAAACTTGGGAGTCATTCACACATACATGAATAATGTGGTTTCATCCCTCCGTCGCTCACACGGTTGGCAGAATTCCATTCCACTTGAACAGCACTTTATGTGGAATGATATGAAAGTTGTGTCCGTTAGATCTGTTTGCGGTCCCAGCACCGAGGGGAGGGGAGAGGGCGAAGGCAAGGGATCTCCTCCCCCTCCATTCATACCTCAACACACAGTCTTACATCTCAGCTTTTGGAATAAAATTGGTCACAGCTTTATTGGCTACAGCTGTGGGAAGCCTTGGCGCAGCATGGGGCCCCGGATCCCGGCAGTGACTGACCCGCCTGCCAGTCGATGAACCCCAGCCCACCTGCTGGGTCAAAGGAACCGTGGGATGACAGGATGCTTGATCCCACAAGGATGACTGCCACTAGGTGGTCTCCCCTGCCACTTGAGCATGAGGGTAACCCCTGGCAGCTCTCAGGGTGGGCATGCCCCTGGAAACCCTCACCCCAAGATTCCTTATGGGGATCCACATACTCAGGGAAAATGGGCACACAGGCTGGTTTTTCCTAAAATGGATCTGTCCCCACGCTGACACCAACTCCCCATGTCGTGATGATTAAACTTTAGCAAACATTCATAACCGTAATGTCATCCGTGCATCCCCCACTGCATTACCTCTCCCATGGCGACAGCCCCTAAGCCCCACATGCCATTCTTCCCAAAGGCAAAAACACAAAGGATGGGATGGGTTGGCAAAAAACCACATGGCCAGGTGAGATCCTAGGCAGCATGGCACTTTGTCCCCTAGCCCCCCCCCCTTTTGCCCTCAGCCATGACTCAGTTCCAGGCCTCTGACAGGCCATGCACCAGGAAGGGGGTGGGCCAAAATTCAGGCCATTGCAGCCACCCAGCCCCTCAGCTAGCCATGCAACCTGGCCTTCTTAGCCGGGCACAGCCAGCCCTGACCACCTTTGCCTTCTTCGACTCGCCCCTTCCCGCAGGACCCATGGGTGAGTCGGGGCCCTGGCTTCACACGGGTGTACCAACAAGGCACTATAAAATCCATTGCGTTAACTTGCCCTTACTTTTTCCTCGGTAGTGAAACTTTGTACCCATGCACAAATTTGTCTACTAGGTGGGCTGGTAATTACAGATTACTGCTGTTGTAGTGTATGGAGCGATATTGTAATATTTTTGGCTCTTCCTTGATTATATATTTAATATCTGCTTTACAGAAAAACTCTTTTAATAGCTACTCGATATTCTTACTTGATTTTTTTACAACCCCCCGGCTTATTTCAGGAACCATATATGAAGGAACTTCAATGATCCAGTTGAATACCATTGCAAAATGCATTGCTCAAGAATACTGAAATCCAAAAGATGCATTGATTGTTACAGATTATTTCACAGAAAATTAGAGGCAGTTCATCTCACTGGTGGAATCCTTGATTGTGCCTTCATTGCCAAATTCTATATCAAAGAGCCAAACAATTGTTATATGTTTCATATACAGTCCCTTGCTCAAATCAGTGTATAAGTTACCTGACTGCTATGTATCATTGGAAGCTTAACTTACAGTTATAATGGCACAGGTCCTGCCTCTTTTGAAGTACTTGTTGGATTTTCTGTCTCTCCGTGCTGACATCTATCAACTTGCTGATACCATTTGATTCTGAATTGGTGAAACATTTCCTGCAGGAATGATCTTTCCAAATTACCACATTTCTCTTAATCCTTGGCATCTACTTTAATTTGGGGTGTTTATAAATGTACAACATTTATTTTTATTTTTAAAAAGTTGTAAATCATGGTAAAGTATATATCCCAAAATGTCTGAGATTTTATTCACATGACTGCAGTGGTCTCAAAACATTAGTTACAAGCCAGTAATAGTAACACTCATTTACATGTCCGTGGGACAATACGAATGTAAGTGATCAATCATCCAAATGCTTAAAAATGGTGCCAAAATGTAATGGACTGTTCTTGCTTGATTTCTAACCCCTTTTCTTAGAGGATGGGGTAGGATGAGGTAGAGTTCTTATTTAAAGCCAATAAGTTCGAATGCATAGGGCTCTGATTTTGATACAGTGCTTTTCAAAATGGATAAAATCAACAGCTGCCCATACGTGCCCATTCTCTGTTGTGGCCTCCACCTTATTGAAATGCCCTGCCTGATGGGGTCAAGAAAGCTCCCACTCTCTGAGCTTTACATCAAGTGCAAAGCTGAATTATTCAGGAAGGCTTTTTTACAAAGATGATAGGGCCATAGTGTAACAAAATGTTTCAGAAAGATGCTTTGGTAAAAGGGTTTGGGACTGGGTATTTCTACTGTGTATAGTTTGTATTGTCTGTTGCTGTAAGTAGGGTACAACTATGTAATTTTTGCTTCGCTTAACATGTCGTGGTAATGCTCATGCTTTGTTTCAGTTCTGTTCAGACTTCTGCTTGATTCCAGATTTCTGGAATCCAAATCCTATTGCACTGTTTATTGGATGTCCCATCCTGTTGATTGTATTGACTTGCACTGTGTTGTCTGCCTTGAGTCTCAACGAAACATTATATGGTGGGTTTATGCTTTTTTAGGCTTGTAAACTGATAGTAATTGGTCACAGCATTTCTAGGGCCTGTGCCTCCATATGCCTTCAGTCAACCCAGTACAGATAAATAAAATGGAAAACTTGTCACTATTATCTCTGTCCTAGTGGATGAAAAACAAGAAGTATTGCATCTCTAGTACAGTAGCATTATGTATAAAGCTCCTTGTGTTAATTATGACATTGTTTGGCTCGATATACTACACGTGCCTGTATGTCTTCTGTAAGCCTGCAAGAAACAAAGAAACGGGGTTTATTCTTTATTTTTCTTTCTTGAAAGGCTGAACTTTGACCAGCTTCATGACAAGCTGAAATCCAGCAGGCAGAGTTTCCTTTATTGTTATAACTCAATGTTGAGGGAAACTATACTTCTTAAATTCCTGCCAGGGATGCAGCTGTTAAAGGCACAGCGTCTTTACCAGAAAAGGGCAGTAACTGTAGTGCTAGATGTTTCGTATGGAAGGGAAATGTTCTGCACCTTTAGCAGGGGCTTAATGGGATGTGATTTACCACTGTGCCCTGAAAAGCTTCAACTGCCCATTTCCACACATTTAGCTTCTGTTAAAAGAAGGACAAGAGTTCTTTGTCCAGGCCACTTGGCAACCCTACCAGCATGAAACATGCAAATAGTATCACTTCTTAGTAATAGATGTCTATTCTGTTTGCTTTGAGCTGTACCTGAAATTGATGGTAATCAAATTTCTTGTATACAAAACTTACTCAGCTCTTTTAAGTCTTACAGGTGGCTTTCAAAAAAGGTACAGTTTCTATACAGAGCATCAAAAAAAAAAAAAGTAAGGCACACTGTGTGCTTTGTTACTCACTGTGTGCTTTGTTACTAGATATATTTTGTAATTATTTTCATGCAATGATTGTAAACTTGCTCTGCGAAGTGACTCTTTGAACCTGAAAAAATAATTAAATTCAAGTGCATCTGTTAAGTAAAGGTGGTACGAAAAAGTAGCTAAAGGCCTGCGGCCAAGATGTTTTCTCAAATACCTAACCCCCCTCCCCCCCCCCAATCAACAGATTGTCCCGGCTCCAGGCTGTCGCTGGGAGCAGGTCTATTTGGGAGTAAATCACATGTTATTCAATGGGACTTCTTACTGCCAGGAAAATGTTCTTAGGATTACAGCCTCTGTCACCCATCTCTTTACCGTAAGTTTTGACTTTCTGCCTGCTATAAATTGTATTTCCTTCCTTAAAGATCCTTCCTCCCCCCCCTCCCCCCAACTACACCCTTTTCTTCTCGGTCAATTGAGTGGAAACATGAGCTGTATGCTTAGATCAGGCCCTGTTCTTTCTTCCACAGCCTTTGGAAGTTCAGTTGGGTAGGCCCATGCGACGGGGCCCAGTAACTTCCAAGTCTCAGCAGCAGCACTGAGACTTTGAAACATCTACGCCCAGGTGTACATTTGGCCCCCTCTCTTTGAGTTTTAGGAGGCGTGACTTTGGAGGACCTCCCTGTTTCAATGAGGGTTTGATGTGAATTAATGTTGATGATAGTTGAAATATTAATTTATTGTGGATGCTTGCTCTTTGGCTTACTGCAACTCTGGATTCTTCACTTGATGTGCTGGGTGTTTTAATTTGCTTTTGGTTCTTTTTGCCTTTTACCACATGTGAATTACATATTTAATTCGTTGTTATAAGCCACTAACAGTACAATCCTAAGCAGAGTTACACTGCTCTAAGCCCGTTGATTTTAATAGAGTGGTAGGGGGTGTAACTCTGTTAGGATTGCACAGTTAAAGAGTGATGGTGAGATACATTCATGGTTACCGTCTTTTCGACTAACTCCTGTAATGATGGTTCTATCTGGAGTCATTAGCCAGTGATCATGTTTAACTGTGTACAGTGAAAAGTTCCACATACTGATTCCTGCACATCACACTGCTACTGAAGCCAGAACAGCAGGCCAGACTGTTTTTCTGATCTATTGTCAACGCTATATGCATTATATCTACCTTTGGTTTAATAAAGATGCATTATGACTACATTTAGATCTGATGAACAAGTTTTCCCCCTCGTTGTCATGCATACATACATGCTTCTTCTCCCCACAAATTAGAGTCTGTATTCTCCCACAAGCCAGAATTCTAAACCAGCGGTTCCCAACTTTTCTGAGTTTGATCCACCACATGATAGTAGCTGTTATATCCATGGACTGAGAAACTACATAAAGACAAAAAGATCAAAATGACAAAGTGTAGTACACATGGCCAGCTGGGAATGGGGGGGAGGGGATTGCCAGGAGAAAGAGAAAGTCCCAGGCCATGGCACCACCATTACACAGGAAGTGATGTCATCATGCCAGTGACTTCTGGGTGGCACTCTGGTAAAACTGACTTCTACCATGTTTTGCCCAAATACCGGAGTGTGTCCCTGAGGTTGTTGGTGTGATGACATCAATTTCTGTGTGATGCAAATGTGGCGTGGGCCTTTTTTCTGGGAAGTCCCTCTGACAGCCAGCTGATTGGTGGCAAAGGATCCCCGCCTCCACTAGGGGGTTTGTAACCTGTGGTCATTTGAAAAGGGCTTTTTGCAATCAGTGGAACTTGCATTTGCCATTTTAATTGCAAGTAACTTCCAAGTAAAAAGTCATAAATGAGAGAAGTGAACACCCAGATCTATACACAAAGTAAGCCTTCTGTTTTTAAATCTGGAACAGCAACCCATTCTGTAGCTTACACTTGAAGCCTGAAAGATTCTTAGAACCACTTTGTGATGCACAGAAGAGGCTGTTGGGGGTGGGGATGATTGTAGATGTTTTCTCAGGGAAGGACTGCAGTAGGTAAAGTGGCCTAAATTAAGAACATAAGAAGAGCCCTGCTGGATCAGACCCATGGCCCATCTAGTTCAGCACCCTGTCTCACATAGTGGCCAACCACAGTTTGACCAGCCACCCACATTCAGATGTCAAAGGAAATCAGAATTTGATTGAAAACTACTACAACCAGGAAGTTTTCAATCCTGCTCCAAGTCTGTGGGGTGAAGGAATACACATGCATAGCATCAAGCCATAGTCACACCTGTCACAAGTAAGCCTATCTATTTGTCCATAGTTTTGCGATGCTCAGGAAATGTGTATTCTCTCTTTAACTTCAGTATGTGACAAAGTGAGCTTTGACTCATTAAAAATTGATACACTGGAAAATTTTAGTTAATCTCTATGGTGCTACGGGACTCTTAATTTTGTTCTGCTACTATAGCCAAACACGGATACCCAACTAAAACTATTCTCTCTTTAAGTTTCTGTTAAGGAAACCTAATAAATGTAAATGCTTTAACCTGTGGTCATTTGAAAAGGGCTTTTTGCAATCAGTGGAACTTGCATTTGCCATTTTAATTGCAAGTAACATCCAAGTAAAAAGCCATAAATGAGAGAAGTGAACACCCAGATCTATACACACAGTAAGCCTTCTGTTTTTAAATCTGGAACAGCAACCCATTCTGTAGCTTACACTTGAAGCCTGAAAGATTCTTAGAACCACTTTGTGATGCACAGAAGAGGCTGTTGGGGGTGGGGATGATTGTAGATGTTTTCTCAGGGAAGGACTGCAGTAGGTAAAGTGGCCTAAATTAAGAACATAAGAAGAGCCCTGCTGGATCAGACCCATGGCCCATCTAGTTCAGCACCCTGTCTCACATAGTGGCCAACCAGTTCCTTTGGAGGGCCAATAACAGGGCATAGAGGCTGATACCTTCCCCTGATGTTGCCTGCTGGCTTTGGGATTCACAGGTTTAGTGCCTCTGAATGTGGAGGTTCCCCTCAGTCACCATGGCTAGTAACCACTGATAGACTTATCCTCCATGAATGTATCTAATCCCCCTTTAAAGCTGTTTATTCCTGTGGCCATCACTTCATCCTCTGGCCATGAATTCCACATTTTAATCACTCTCTGTGTAAAGTAGTATTTCCCTTTGTCTGTTCTAAACCTACTGCTCATTGGATTGCTTTAAAAAAATGGATTGGTTAAAAAATGTTCCTAGCTTACCTGGACACACCAAAACAATGGTAAGTCAAGGAAAAAACAGAAAGTGTGACCCAGGACCTTGGAGGGGTGGGGACACACCATCCAGTACAGTCTGAATATCACCTCCCTTTTAGGCTTGCCAGGATTAACCTTCCGTTTGCCCAGCCCCATCCAGCCCATCACTAAATATTCTTTTGAATCTCTCTCTGCTGAAGAAGAGTCTTCCTAGAGGAAGACTTCTCTGCATTGGAAGAGCATTTATCAAAAAAGCAGCCATTGGATCCAACTTAGTGGGAAGGGAGTTATTAGATCCAACACATTCTGAAAAACTGTAATAGTCTGGCCTAACATTATGGCTTGTTTCGTATAACGTTAGCCCTCTTCTGGACGGTGACAGTATATTGTACGCAATATAAGAAAAAAAATGTTGCCTTTATTTTGGCCCAGGCTATGTACAAAAGGATTTCAGTCTGTTAACCACTTCTGTCATTTTTAGGAATACTGATCATTGATTTGTTGTTGTCACTGTTAAATCGCACAGTCGAGTCCGACTCTTCGCGACCCCATGGACGAGCTCTCTCCAGGCCTTCCGGTCTTCTGCCGTCCTCTGAAGTAGGCTCAACTTCATGTTCGTTGCATCGA